TTCTTTGAAAATATGACATTTTTGTGTAACAAACATTATGTGTGTCCTGTGTAGCTAATAGTATGTGTGTCCTGTGTAGCTAATAGTATGTGTGTCCTGTGTAGCTAATAGTATGTGTGTCCTGTGTAGCTAATAGTATGTGTGTCCTGTGTAGCTAATAGTATGTGCTTACGACGCTCCACTTCCTTTGTTCTGTCACACTCTCTAGTACCTTCCTTTGTTCTGTCACACTCCCCAGTTCCTTCGTATGTTCTGTCACACTCTCTAGTAACCTTCTTTGTTCTGTAACACTGCCCAATACCTTCCTTTGTTCTGTCACAGTTACCAGTACCTTATGTTCTGTGAAACTCCCCAGTACCTTACTTTATTCTGTCACACTCCCCAGTACCTTCCTTTGTTCTGTCACACTAAACAATACCTTCCTTTGTTCTGTCACACTAAACAATACCTTCCTTTGTTCTGTCACACTAAACAATACCTTCCTTTGTTCTGTCACACTAAACAATACCTTCCTTTGTTCTGTCACACTAAACAATACCTTCCTTTGTTCTGTCACACTAAAAAATACCTTCCTTTGTTCTGTCACACTAAACAATACCTTCCTTTGTTCTGTCACACTAAACAATACCTTCCTTTGTACAGTCACACTAAACAATACCTTCCTTTGTACTGTCACACTAAACAATACCTTCCTTTGTTCTGTCACACTCCTCGGTAACTTCGTAAGTTCTGCCGTGGAGATGTCAGCATCAGCATCACATAGCGTGTTCTAACTAAATCAAACCATATTTGTAATTTCCCCAAGCATCGTATCAAAGCAAAAGCATTCAGCTCGTACCGTATAAACTGTTCTTGGTTTAACAATTTCAAGGGTATGAGAATCACTGTTGCTGCCTTCATGCTGCTAAGGGTATGCAAATCAATGTTGTCGCCGTAACACTGCCAAGGATGTGGGAATCACTGTTGTTGCCTTATTGATACTGTCAAAAGTATGAGAATCAATGTTTTTGCCTTCATACTGTCAAGGGTATGAGAATCACTGGTGTTGAGATGCACGCTTTTTGGTACGTGAATTTGTGGCTTAATTGTGGAGGAGTGCGCAGGTCCAAGGAGTGCGCAGGTCCAAGGAGTGCGCAGGTCCAACGGGTGGGCTCGGTCTTAGATTAGTTAGTAATCAAATGAGACACAGACAAACAAATGAGACACAGACAAACAAATGAAACACATACCAAATGAGTCACAGACCAATTGAGACACAAACAAATTAGACAGAGACCAAGAAATAAGACACAGACCAACAATTGAGACACAGACCAACAAATGAGACACATACCAAATGAGTCACAGACCAATTGAGACACACACAAACAAATGAAACACATATCAAATTAGTCACAGACCAATTGAGACACATACCAAATGAGGCACAGATCAACAAATGAGACACAGACAAACAAATAAGACACAGACCAACAAATGAGACACAGACCAACAAAAGAGACACAGATTAACAAATAAGACACATCCCAACAAATGAGACACAGACCAACAAATGAGACACAGACCAACAAATGAGACACAGACCAACAAATGAGACAAAGACCAACAAATGAGGCACAGACCAAGAAATAAGACACAGTCCAAAAATGAGACGGACCAAATGAGACACAATTTTCTCATTGGCCCATTTTGTTCATTACATAAACTTAAAAGTTTCAAATTTAAAAAATAATTGTTCAAATACTCTGATAAAAACGCTGGGACATTTATTTAGTATGACCATATGGCAGGTATAAATATTTATTTGATATCAACAAATGGCAGCTATAAATATTTAACTTCTGCAACACCTTATTGACAATCATAACGGATACGATTTCAAGTTATTGTAATCTTAATTACAGTCCTACATTCTAGTAGAAAATGCTTTCCCAAAAAATATAGAAGAAAATTCTGTTTATAATTAATTGTAGTCATATGATAACTTGTTCCCGTTCACCTCTTGTAAGTACCGTACTTACAATAATAAGACAAAAACAAGTTGCCATGTACCGTACTTACTATAATAATACATAAACAAGTTGTCATGTACCGTACTTACAATAATAATACAAAAAAAAAAAAACAAGTAGTGGAATAAGATGAGCTTTAATTAAATACACTATACAAATTTAAGATGGTTCAGCCGGTGTCATTGTCAGGCCGTGCCATTGTCAGGCCGGTGCTGTTGTCAGGCCGGTGCTGTTGTCAGTACAAAGAACAACAACTTCTAATAAGAATACAATAACTTGATATAATATTGAGTAGGACTGTAAGAATACAATAACTTGATAGAATATTGAGTAAGACTGTAAGAATACAATAACTTGATAGAACATTAAGTAGGACTGTAAGAATACAATAACTTGATAGAATATTGAGTAGGACTGTAAGTAAGAATACAATAACTTGATAGAATATTGAGTAGGACTGTAAGAATACAATAACTTGATAGAATATTGAGTAGGACTGTAAGTAAGATTACAATAACTTGATAGAATATTGAGTAGGACTGTAAGTAAGATTACAATAACTTGATAGAATATTGAGTAGGACTAGTGAAGTGTTACAAATTAGATGAATAACTGATTACTTTAGAGATAACTATAAATATTATATGGGCCTAGAAGTACTCATTCTTTAGAGATATGTATTTATATGATATGGGCCTAGAACACATTCTTAGGAGATATGTATATATATATTATATGGGCCTACAAAAACAAGTTCTTTAGAGATATGTATTTATATATATGGGTCTACCAGTACAAACATCTTTAGAGATATGGATCGTTATACAGGCCTACAACGTCTAATACTCAAACTTGTGAAGACAACATGAATGATGGTGATTACTGAAATCAAATTCAACAAAAAACTTAACACTGCTAGTACAAGAATTACTGTACCAATAGAGTCATCAACCGAAGACTGAAATCATGTGAGAAAGTAAGTTGGGCCATTGAGACTAGGTTATATTTTGGACTAAACTTTAGGTCATCTCATATACTTCAGGTCATAATCATATACTTTAGGTCATATCATATAATTTAGGTCATATCATATACTTTAGGTCATAATCATATACTTTAGGACATATATAATTCGGGTCATATCATATACTTCAGGTCATATCATTTACTTAAGGTCATATCATATTTTGAATTCTGAAAAAAAACAACATAATCATAAGTAATTAAGGTAATCATTTTTTTCTTAGATTAATTAATTGTGAAGATTATTTTGGGACATCTCTTAAGGCGGTCATATATTTTAAACTAAATATTACCTCTTAAAATGTTTTATGCTTACAATTTTTACAATTTGCATTGAATTTTTCTGATAAAAACATTTTTTTTTTTACCTATGCATGAAACACATTTAAATATAGAATCTAAATAAATAATTTTGTTAGGCTAATAAAACACAAAAATTTACCTACAGCTTAACTGAAAAACGAATGACCTGGTAACTCTAATCTGACCTTCATAATACCTAGCATATCTAGTCTGACCCCTCTTTAAATGTACAAGGTGCATTTATAATAACAAAATAGAGAGTTTGGGGTGCAACCAATGTTCCCTCTAAGCTTTGTTGGTTCCTGTGCAAAATCATCCAGTTGTGTGCAAATTTTTACAGCATCAATTTTTTGTGTGCAAAATTTTACAGCCCAGAAACAAAAACACACACTTACATGGAAATTTGCAGCTTAAAGGGAACATTGGGTGCAAACAATAAAAAGGTTGAACACCACTGGCCCCAATAACACAAAATTGACTTAATACCCAAAAGTGTATGGCGAGATGTACAAGAATACTAAAGTATAAAGTTTTTTGTATATAAGTGTATACAAGAGATAGTGGAGTACATAACTGAGTGTATAGTGTAGAGTGTATAAAGGGGTCACGACCCACAGGTTGAGAACCGCTGGTTCAGAGGCTAGTCAATCTGACAAAATCCAAGTTGAAACACATTATTTTAAAAATTTAATTAAAAACCAAGGGAATTAATTAAGATGAACTCCCCTATAGGTTAAATTAATTAGACACCACCAATTTGTGTCAATATAATTTAAGCTTTAATAATAGTTATACATAATACACAAGTAAACGTTTCGGCAAATGCCTTCATCAGTACAACAACAAAACATTTAAATAAGTATAAATTAAATTTACATAATATATTATATACATATATCCTACCTACAAAATTAATTAATCTATTTTAAAGCTTTACCGCAGTCCAACACTTTTTACCTTTAGGCCCCTTTAGATTATGCTGTGTACCTAATCTTTGCCATGTAGCATGACCCTTAAGTGCTTAAGTAGAGGTAATTTAAATGAAACCAAAGAGTAAGAGATATTACAGAAACAATAATAACCCAAGTCTAGATCTTGTTGTCCTAGATGTGGTATTTATATTGTTTACAACAATTTTCAAACATTATTTTTAAAGGGATGAAGAAAGAAAATAAAGTTTGTAAAATCTTTCCATTTTGTATTGGATATGGTGTCCATTTCTACAAGCTACATGAATCAGTGATAAAAGCATTTGCATTCCTAACTAGGGACAGTGTATATGTGCAGACCTGCTGCTAATTCAGATTGTTGTACTGTGCTGTGCAAATTGGTGTGCATATCTGCCAGCACATGTGCTGGAAGCTGCAATTCAGCTGAGTGCATGCTGGGAAGCTGGTGCACTGGGGCATGGAGCACAGTTTGCATGGCTGAGCTCAGGTGATGAAGCTGAAAATTATTTCTCAAGTCATTTTGAGTCTGCAGCATTTGCTGATGGTTCTGATAGTCATTGCTGGGATGAACGTCTTGGCTCAGATGCTCTGATACATTTGTAATGGCTTCTGTTGCAATTGACTGCTGGGATGTTGTTTGCACATAAGACCGACACTGCAGTTCTGCTTGAAGTCCACAAGGCAGTTGGGATATGGCAACGAGTGCGGTATCCTCGAGTATCTGCACCACTGGACTTTGTCCAAGGCACGATGGAGTATTCTGCACGCTGTGGGTTCTTTTCAGGTGCTTTTTAAGGGAGGACCGTTTGGTGAACTTTGACCCACAGATATCACACCTGTGGGGTTTTTCACCAGAGTGAAGCTTTTCGTGACTTCTCATGTGTGACGAACAGGTGAAAGCTTTGCAGCAGACACTGCACTTGTACTTCCTCTCCCGGTTCTGGTCGTGCACCTTGATATGATCCCGGAGGTAGCCCTTCTGGGTGAAGCCAGCCTCACATACTGTACATTTAAATGGCTTTTCTCCCGAATGCTTTCTCATGTGGCCCTCCATGTAGGATTTTTGCAGGAAGCGACGGCCACAGATGGGACATTTGAAAGGCTCGTCACCACTGTGGACTTTCATGTGAGATGTCAGCTGGTGCTTCTCCCTGTATGTGGAGTTACATATCTTGCAAGTGAACGGACGCTCCCCGGTGTGCTTCATGAGGTGAAGTTTTAATTTGCAAGAATGTGTGAAAGACTGGCCACAGAACTCACAAGAAAACCTGTCCTTGGGCTTGACACCTTCGTGGATCTGCTTTACGTGTTTCTTCATGCTGGAGAGCTGTGAGAACATAGCATTGCACACCTCGCACTTGTAGGGTTTCTCACCGGTGTGCTTCCGTTCATGATTTCTCAACTGCGCCGACTTTAGGAAGGCGGCGCCACAAGTAGAGCAGACGTGGGGCCTCTCCCTGGTCTCTTCATGAGTCTTCAAGTGACTTTTGAGGTAGTAGGATAGCTTGAAGCCCATCCCGCATATGCCACAGCAGTGGGGCTTCCTGTCTAAATGTGTTTGAATGTGGTTCTTCAATGTCGTCTTTAACAAAAATCTCCTGCCGCAGGTTGTGCACTCGTGATTTTTTTCCCCAGAGTGGATGTTTTTGTGATTGGCCAACATGTTCTGCTCGGCAAAGGATGACCCGCAGATTTCACACATGAACGGCTTTGTGGCATTATGCTTGCTCATCAGGTGAAGCTTAAGTTTGGAAGGGTACGGGAAGTGCAGTCCGCACTTCTCACAGCTGTAACGAATATTCCTGTGCTCCTTCCTCCGATGCTGGAAATGGTCTCTCGTGGTTTGAAATGTTTCCCCGCAATCAACACACGTCGTCTCGACCTGTTTAGAATGGGACAGTTTGTGCTGGTCCAGAGCGGTCTGCAGCTCAAATAACATGCCGCACTCTTCACACTTAAACTTGAGAAGTTCGGGGTGCATCAGCCGCATGTGCCTCGTGCGGCTACCACAGTGAATGAAACCAGCATCGCAGATGTCACACTTGTAAAACCTCTGGCCAGAATGAGTTGACATGTGGCATTTCATGACATAGGCTGTGGTGCAGCTGACCCCACAAATGGGGCATGTCCGAGATCTACTCGTCAGACATGAATCTGCCTTTTGTGATGTCGAACCTACATCCTGACTGTCATCGCCAGATACCTCGTAATCAAACTTGGCGACCTCTTCATCAAAGAAATCCAAAGACTCCCCATCTGGTTTCAACTGCTTATTAAGGAGAAGATTTTTGCCTGGTGCGATCACGCTGAAATCATACATAACATCTTCTGGAATGAAAGTCAATGCAGCAGGCTTATCTTCCCTGTTCAGTTCTCTTTGATTCACACCTTCTAGAAATGCAATGCTTTTTTCGGTTGCAGTTTGTACTAAACAATCTTTGCTCTCAACCTTCAAAGTATTTGTTGCCAAACTCTCACCAACCGCAGACGTTGCCCAACTCTCACCAACCGCAGTTGTTGGCAAACTCTCACTGACTGCAGACGTTGCCAAACTCTCACCAACTGCAGACATTGCCGAACTCTCACCAACTGCAGATGTAACACCTTTGCTATGTGACCTGAGAACTTGTCTTAATTTAGTAGCTGACTTCACAGCTCTAAGATCTTTTGGCCCGGAATTTAATGTTGAATCATGAAAGCCCTTATTTAAGAGACTCAGATGATTTTTTTGCTCATTACGAGCCCTTCTTGATTGGATAGCTGATGTGTTCATGGTGCTTTTATCTACTTTTCTACCCCTTTTTATGACAACTTGATCATTAGAGGGGGATAATTCACACAATCCATTCTTTGAGCCTCTCTGTGAAATGGTCTTCATTGGACCAGCCAACTTCTCTCCCCTGACTTGCTTTTCTTTTCCAGAAACATTAATCAAATAGTCTTTTCCTGAAACCTTAAGTGATTTGTCTTTTCCTGAAACTTTTAGTGACCTGCCCTTGATTTCAAAGCAAGTGTCTAGCACCTTGGTCAACATTAAATTCTTCTCGCTCTGCAGTTTTGTTCGTATTTCATCCTCCCTGACACCATTTGAAATCCTCCTTTGAATGTATCGATCAATGTGGTCCTGAAACTCACAGTATTTGGCCAGATGTTTTACTTCTAATATAAATTCGCCAATGTCATCCTCTTCATTCTGTTGGCATGTGAAAAATTTGAATCTTTCATAGAGTAAAATAAATCTGGGCAGACAGAGATCCTCAATGCCCTCTAGGAAGGCATGGAAACTGTCTACATCTCGTTTCAAAAAGTCCTTGACCATTTCCTTTGCCTCCTCACCACCCAGATGAATCAGCAGCGATTTTGACAAAACATTTTTTAAGAAAACTCCATTTGCTTTTTTTCTGTCAACTTTACAGAATCTATGATACCTTTGCTTTAAGTTCTTCCAACTGATATATGATGCAGAGGTTTCATCATTACACCTGGGCAATGGAAGGACAAGCTCCATGCCAGACCAAATATTTCATCAAGTATCAGGTGATATCATCAAGCAGAGGTTTGATCATCACACCTGGGCAACATAAGGACACACTCCATACCTGACAATACCTGACCAAATGTTTCATCAAGTATCAGGTTATATCATCAAATCAACTTTGTTGTCACTAACGGCAGAAGCGTCAGGCTGGCAATATTTTATAGCAGTTTAAGCTACATAAGCTTACGAACTAATTGTTTGAGACATTTGGAATATTTGGTGACCATCGTACTGCATGACCTGTTGAAAAGAAAACATTATCTATATTACTATTATTACTATGACCATAGGAAATCCAATCATCTTGAGTTTGATTCATAAAATCTGTGTCTATATCATTATTAACACGGTCGAGTGTCATTTTAAATTAAACCAAAAGTTAAGAGACATTGCTTAAACAATAATATTCCAAACATATGAAGATTTTATTTTCAATAAACTTTTAAAGCAGCATATTACATCGTCCAACATCAATTGATCTGTGTTCCCTGATTTACTGTTGCTTGCCAAAGCCTAATTCTAATTATTGTCTAATAAGTTTATTATCATAAGCATTACTATATATTTTTAAGAACAGTCATAATTTAATCAATATGCCTGCTTTGTGTGTCGAGCTTGCCTGGCTTTGCTCTTTTACATTCTGTAAATGGATTTTTACTAAGCCCCAATTAATAAATAAGTATACGTTGTTAGTTAATCAAGTTTAATAAATTATAGGCCTAGAGTTTGCATTAAAGCAATTTATGGCAACTCAATTAGTAGAAATACTGTACTACCAATCTTAAGTTAAATCTATTTAAAATAATTTAACCTTAGTTTAATCAGAATTGACAATTGATAAATATCAACTTGTATAAAGACTAGTCACACAGTGAAACAGTTAAGTAAGCGTTACAGCTGAGGGCGAGGCCTATAGATTGGCAAACTTTAACTTTATATTATTCTATCTTGCAATAGTAAGTCTGAGTAAAGTGAGTCAAGTGGTTACGATTTAGTTTCAACATTTATCACAATTCAGCTACCATGAATGGAATAACATTGAGCATTTAGTGACTGATACAAATGTTTAGGTTTAGGCCTAGTTGAAAATAACCAAAGTGTAGCCAATAAAAATTAAAAATACCATCATTTACCCTATAACTCTTGCTGTGGATGCAACTTCACTAAACGGATCTCCCATTAATGAAGTGCACATTCATACAAAATCCCATGTATATAGGACACTTGCCGGGTGGATTATGTTGAGCACACACATCAATCACTCCTTCACATAATTAAAGTATATTCCTGTGCATATGGTTTGCAAGAGTTAGACCTTAAAGACCACATTTTTCAGTCAAAATAAAAGCACAATGTTAGACAGTTACAGTCTAATCGGTCTTCAAAAACTGGTAACTGAGAGGAAAATGAAGAGCTCAGGTTTTAAGCAGAATGGCTGCATTGTGGCTAACTTGATGCCGCACACTACATTTAACAAATGTGAGTAAGGTCAAAGTTAAACGCTCCATAAACAGCATGTTTTAAAATATTTAGCCATATTAAATTTGTGTACTTAATTAGTTAATTATTTGCTAATGTTTTTTGTCTCCAGGTATAAACAAGGATCTTGTGACTCTGGAGGTTTCATGGCATTTTTAAAGAAGGAAGGATTGAAACCTGGAGTTATTCTTTGATATGTCTGCAGTCAACTACCAGAACATATAATGTTTCACACGTCTGCAACAATTTTCTATTTAAAAGACAAGTTGCTTGATTATTTTGAGCAGAAATATTGATGCACTAATTCACTGTATGTAGTGATATGCCATGGACATGAAGAACACCCATGTTCAGTTACTCTTGGCTTCTTTTCAAAATTGATGATCAGGCCATGGATGGTGTTAATCTACAACAAAATAAATGTAAGCGTTCCAGTCAGTCTAGATCTGGTAATCTAAATATCCATTGGAAGCAATCCAATCTAGATCTGGTAAACTAAATATCCATTGGAAAAAAAATTATGCTCTTATACAGACAGCTTTTCTGAAGACTTTCTTAGTACTTATATTGATTTCAATCTAGTAGACATACCGGGTACTTACTTATATTGATGTCCTGTACATTTTTAAAATTATTTTTTCATAATTTTTTTTTACAGGTAAAGGATGGAATTTTCACCAAATGCATGAAGTCTCTAGATGATTTAAAGTGAGCACCTAAGCTTGCCATAACATCTAAAAAGGATGTCATCTGAAAAGGATGTATTTGTACATGTTTTATCTGTTTCAGCAAGACACATGAAACACTGCTGGTCATCCACTGAATCCTGGTCTGTTTCCAGTCATTTTGACTAAGTCTTGCCATTAGAACAAATAGGCAAGGAAGAAAGGCTGAAGGTGATGACTTAAGCAACTGTCTCTCACTTTAAACAAAATACAGGTCAAGTCAAGGCTACTACTGAAGTCGAAGCCTTGGTCATCTTCGCATGCGAAGGACGAACAATACAATAACTGATAAGAAATCGACTGTAGTCTTCAGTGCGAAATCAGCCCCTCAAAAATATGGATCAACTTTAATACTTTAAAAAACAATACAGGCCATAGCCACATAATTTTGCCTAAAACTATGTAGCCAACGCCAAAGGTATTTATCTGGAGATCTTTCTGAGCCCACTAATAAACCGCTCAAGGCTGCATCATCAGCTCCAGTGCATAACATGTTGTATGCAGAACCTACTTTAGGGACTTGTTGATTCACTGTGGACAAGGGCTCCTAATGCATCTATAACAGTGGTTCTCAACCTTCCTAATGCTGGGACCCTTTACTACAGTTCCTCATGTTGTGGTGACCCGCAAACATAAAATTATTTTCGTTGCTACCTCTTAACTGTAGAGTTTAGGCGACCCCTGTGAAAGGGTCGTTTGACCCCCAAAAAGGGGCTATGATAAGTTGAGAACCTCTGATTTATAGGTTTGGTGGGAGGAAAATTTAAAGTTGTACAAAATGACAAAATAAAATGACAGAATAAAATGGCTCAATGATCAAACTGAATCACAACTGGCAAAATTGCTCAAGTATGCAGTCAAACACCCGATGAGTCAAGGCGGCTTTTTCAACCAAGTCAAGTCGCACTGCAAAATGCCTATGCGAGAAAGCAATATGATGTTTCTCAAAAGAGAGAAAAAGCTGACCGCACCAAATCTGAAACATTGATCACCAACATCTCAGATCAATATGGACCTGATTTAACATTGGACATGTTTTCAAATTTGGAAGAAGATCAAAAGTCCAAACTGCAGGAGGTTTTACATAAAACCATGAAGTCTAGTAAATGTCTTGATAAATTACTCCACCATTTAAGGAACAACGATGGTCAGGATGTACTCGGTAATGTAATTCGAAAAAAATCTAGGGCGTAAAGATCAAAACCATTTCTAAAAGTGGTAAAAAAAAAAAAAAAGGCAAAACAATGTGTGTCCTTGAAGTATTGGAAGGCTAGAGAGACTGAAGACTCAAAAGCCGACTATAATTTGAACATTGACATTTTGTTCATGAGACTTTAGAGATGTAAAATTTATTTAATTTTTGAAAGAAAATGCAGTTTAAAATTTCATATGCTATTTTTAAAAACATTATTTTTCCCCTTTTCAATAACGAACAGTTTGATAAACTTTATTCTATATTTTGGAGCATTTTGTTCTTGTGGTGATCATAGTTTAATATTATATATGCAAATTTTTTGCACATTTTGAATATTAATGAGCTCATCATAACTACCGCATAATTTATTATACGATGTTCGATTATGATGATAAGGTTATAATGATAACAGAAATATATGGTTTGTTGTAAGGCAAGGGCAAGGGCTATCGTAATTGAACCCTTAAGTTAAATAACATCAATTTTTTGCTTTTTTTAACAGCTCCCTCAAATTCTATGCCCAGTTTTTGTTTTAGTCACTTTTATATTTTCTTATAATTATATGAATGACATAGCCTATATCTTATACTTATGTCTCATCAGAGTAAGTTATCCCAAAATAATTCACACAAAAAAGTCCTAAATTTCTCTAAAACTAAAATTGACTTAGAACCATACATTTGGTGACATTTTATTGTATTTTTTAAACCCTATCCGAATAACTAAGAGACTAAGTCTTAAAAGCTGTAACTGTAACGTAACTTACTGTAGCTTCATTTTGAAAAGTTTTCTTAAGATAAGTACCTTAACAAAATAAACTCTAAACTCTTATTATTAATTATTAATATTATTATCATTGAATTGACCATGATTGGCATACGGTTATTTACTATTTTTAGGCTCAGGCCTAGTTTAAAATGACCAAAATGTAGCCAATAAAATTACCATAATTTGCCGTAAGGAAGGAACAGTTGAATACTTCTTTTTTAGAAGATATAAATATTAAAGGTTGGCTTCGACCAGTTTATTTGTTGTTTTCTTTTTCTTTCATTCAATCGGTACAATAGCCATGGACAGTGCAATTACCAAGAAACGAGTAAAGTTATTGAAATGGGAGTTTTTTCAATCTGGATTTTGGGCATACTTTTAATTTACAAATAAATGAAATTACATTTTTATATTCCCAAACTATGATTGATTACAATTTTGTTAAACATCGATTTTAATTTAAAACATAAATTTAAAATATTTGCGCATATAAATATTTTAATTAGGCTTATCATTTATTTATTATTAAAATTATCATTAAAAAAAACAAAAAAAAAACAAAAAAAAAAAAAAAAAAAAAAAAAAAAAAAAAAAAAAAAAAAAAAAAAAAAAAACAAAAAAAAAAAATATTTATTTATTATTAAAATTATCAATAAAAAAAACAAAAAAAAAACAAAAAAAAAAAAACAAAAAAAACAAAAAAATAACTGTGCCTAAGTTGGCCTAACTCTAACTCAAGCCCGATCACTCTAATTCTAAATGCGCTGTTAGCCACCCACCCTTTTGGATTAAATAGCTTAAAT